ATTTAAATATATTATTTTAAATATTATTTAAAGACCAGAATAGAGGTGATTTATGTTTCATATGATGAATTCAGACGTAGCTTGTATCACATCAGTCCCATGCAGCCAAAAATTTACACCCATGGTGGCATCTCCTTGCCACAATCTTCCAACACTTTCTGTAGGAATGAGTAACAGCAAGAGGGTTCTTCATCATCCAAAAAGAACCTCATTTTCTCAATTTCCCACTATCCCCTCTTCTTCTGTCCTCAAACTCAACAGCTTTTCCTTGAAGTTCCTCAGCTTTTTCCTAGGATTAGAGACTTAAGTTTTATACAAATCTTTGCTGCACATTTTTCAAGATAAACTAACTTTTGCCAAGTGTTGAAAGTTTCCATGAGCAAAGGCCTTTTACTGTTCCCTCAACAAGGAGATGGACTCTCATTTGCTCATTTGTTCTCAGCTGCACAGAAAGGGTGTAACAAGTGTGTACACAAGCATAAAAAGAGGTGCAAAATTTTTCTGCAGTAGGGGTAGAGGTCTTACATCAAAGGCTATTCCAGTCACACTACAATGCTGCACATATTAAAATATTAACAAAATAAGACGAGCTTTTTTAGCAGGAAAAACTCTCTAGAAAGCCTCTATTTTTGGAATAGTAGGCTGGGAAGGTGCTTCTTGAGGTGCAAGTTCCTATACACAGCCATCTTCTCAATTAATGCACCACCCGTCACTCTCTTACCAACATCCACAATGCCAATGTCAACCCAGAGGCTGGCACAGAAAGATCCAAGCAGGAAGCCCAGGGTTGGCCCAAACATGCCTGAGGATCTCACCAGGCCTGTAAGAGAAGGAAGGCAGCACAGGAGAGTCAACAAAATGCAGCATGGACAAGCATGCCTTCCTCTCTGAGGGCAAGGAAGGGAGAGAGGAAGGAGGAAACAGAAGAGGGATACAGGCCATTAGGCCTGATGGGAAGCTTCTTAGCAGGAAGAAAATAAGCTGTTCTGTGATTGTAGACATCAGGGTTTTTTCCTGTAGTATATGTTTGGGTCCTTAATTTAATTTTAAGTTGTGGTAGTTGATCTGATGACACACATATAAGAAGGCACGTCTTTGCACTTTGGAATCACATTGGGATGACAGGGACAATAACAGTGCCTGGACCTGGAATTAGCTATGGGGCCCTTAGCATATTTTCAGTGGGGAACAAGGATATACAAGCATCCTTGTGTGTGATCAAAGTTCATTAAACAGAATCTTTGTTGACTCATTCACCACCAGAATGAGCAAATCAGCTAACTGTTGTGTTAACACATACTTAGGTGGCTGTATCAAGAAATCTAGTGATCAAGTAATGACCTCTTTAAGAGCTTTCAGTCTTGCTATTGGCCTCCCTGGTGCTTCCATTTCCCACTCTGTCTTTGCTTACAAAGGAGAAAACACAGGGTCAGAAGAAGGTGGGATGTCCTTAGGAGCAAGTCAATAAGCTGAGAAAGCCAGCAGCAACCTAGGAAGCTAGGACTGCATTTTTCTGTCTGGGTCAGTAAACACAGCACAATTGGACTTTGGTGACCACTGCTGACAATTAACACAAAATAAAAACACCCTCAAAATAAATCAAGCACAGGTCCTCACATTCTCTTGTCACTTGTGTTGATCTGTTCAAGTTTATTTGTGAGGGGGTAACAGTTTCAAAAAATGTTTAGTGATTTGGATATCTGAATCCTAGCATGGAACTACTACCAGGGAGCTGTTTGAAGTTGCAGAAAGCTTAATTCTACTAGAAAGAAAAGTTATTGACCAAGTGCCTGTCAGTTCTTGCCCACATTCCGCACTCTGCTCGTACCGTTGTTCCACTGCTTTTGCAAACTCTCTTCTGAACACAGAGACTTCTACTCTACAGTAAGACTTACTACTCAGAACTATGCAAGCTCATCTACAAAGGTCAAAAACACAGTGATAAATTTCTAAAATAAATTGATACAAACCAGCACACCCATACCAATGATTTTATATATTGTGTGAAGTATTATTTTTTAAGATACCACAGGTTATCAGATAAGCTAAGAAACATATGTGTAATATTTTTGCATTTTGTATTTGTATAGTTTTTAAATTAAATTTCACACTTGCATACCCTTTAAATTCAATAACTTCATATGTTTTACTGTGACAAAACAAAACGAAATAAACTTGTGATATTTTCTTAGCATATTTTTCATTTGTAATATTTATCCTTTGTAATTAATAAAAAGACTTAACCACAAACAGTAAATCATGCAGACTTATGAGTTAATTGGCTGCTGCATACTGACATAGTTGAGCCAATCAGCTGCACTGATGAGTAATTTAGCGTGTCACCAGTGTTCAAATTTACAACATATATCAGCCTCAGATATGTTTATATTGAAGGTATGGCTTCAATATATACAAGATTATATGCTAGTGCTCAAGTCTGTGATGAAATTTCGTTCACTCAAAGATCCTGCTTTGGTGAGAAATCCATGGAAGTGCTCATTAAATAACTTTAATTGTCTAATATTCCTCTTCATAATAAGTCTGATGGCTACTTCAATTAATCAATAATCTTATCAACATTGTTTCAAATAAAATCAGAAAATAATTTTTAAAATAGTAAGAAGCTACTGAAAGATTATTAGTATAGATGAAATCTTCATGTATGTTAGCAGCTCTTCTATAGGCACCTGAACAGAAGTGAAACATCTGAAGACCATAAAATAGCTGAATAAATTAGGTGCTTAGCGTGAGGGAGTAAATAGGAAATTACTCAGTCAGAAGACATGGCAGCACAGGTCACTCCAACAAAGGCCGCCCCTCAAGAGAAAGCAAACCACTGAGATCCTGATATTCCTGTCTTTTAACAAATCTCAGTTGCATATAGAGGGTCAGATAATTATATCTCATACTCATACTGAGTAGTGACTCTATGCAGAAGAGATTTTCAGGACTGTATAGGGTGTGCAGTGCACTGGAGCACCTCAGGACCAGACTGATGGCCTGGTAGAAATACATGAATTAAAAAGGTTCTATAAAACTCAATCTGGAAACTGTGAAATTTCCTGGTGGGAAAGAAAAATCAGTTTCCTGTCTCACCCTCCTCTACTAAATTCTGTAAGACATCCTAATATTTTTTTTAGTTCCTTCCTATGGCAATTCTGGTTTAATTGCTGTCAGTTATCATTTGCACTACACTCTGCCAAAAAGATTTCAATGCATTGTATTGACACTTAATAATGTATTCTATTGACACTTAATAAAATATTCTTTTTGCCTCAAAATAGCTTATGATCTTACTCAACAAAACATCTAAAGGCAAGAGTAAAAGGAGAAACTGGAAGGTGAAACTTCTTGCCCAGGGTCAAATAACAAGATCAACGGTCAAAATTCATCAGCAAGGCTTGACTGGCATTTTTTATTACAGGATATTTTTTTGTATTTTACAAAACCACTGATCATAAACTGATTCAGTTAGTTGATAAAAAACAAAACATATATAGAAAAGAATTAAAGTTGGTCAAGAAAAGTAATTTCGGCTCTACCGAAAAGACTATTTCAGCATTTACTTTTCTTGTAAATTGAGTCAGTCCATCAAAATAGAATAAGAGACTGAAAATTGCCATTCAGAATATTAAAACTAAAAACTTTAATACTCCATAAATGAAATGATCTATTTCGCTTGTGTGACATAAACAAGTTTTCATTTTAGTTGAATCCATACTATTCTCAGTGTCTATTTCACATTTTTAATCTCCGCCAGTCCCCAACTTGTTGCAATCTCTCCCAGATCAGACTCAGAGAAGAAAAAAGTTCAGCTGAACTTTTTAAAATACCTTTAATCAGAAGCTCAGAAGTGATTACAAATATTCTAGATAACTGCTGAGTGGAACTTTTGTTTTGATCACCTCCCTTCACAATGCTTTCGTTCTCTTCAACCTGCGGATTTCTTCATTCCCAAATGAAGAGATTTGCCATGGACTTACCCTGTAGCATTACATACCGAGTTCTTCCTGCAACTGTGTCTTACTACATGTCCAGTTCAACTTAGACCAAATTTACTTCACGCAGCAATTTTGACCTCCCTCAGCCACACAAACATTTCATGCTATTAAATCAGTTTGGCAATAAATTAATCAGCTTGGGTGTAAGTATTTCTGTCTTGGGCAACAGGCGATCTTCCATCAAAACAACAACCACCAAACCCCAATTAGAAGGGATTTGTTACAACACCCTGGCAAGGGTTTGGTTTTTCCTTTGGTAGCTAGTGACTTAAAAATCTTCCATCACAAAGTGTGCTGCATGTAAAACTCAAAAGGCAGGTAAAATCTTCTGAAATGTGTTTGTGTTATGTGATTACATTGCTGACACCTATTTAAGGATCGTTCCCTCATCTGTGAAACAGTGATTAAGAAGAATTTTATCCTCTGAAGCTGTGGTGCTGAAGCCAGATAAGACAGATACGATTTCTCACTTTGGAGAAAGAAGTATTCAATTACACTTCTCTTCACCACAAAGAGAACTAGCACATGTAGCAGAAGTCATTTAAGGAAAGCAAAAGGAGCGTCTGGAAAATATCCTTCACAAATAAATATTAGATTTCCTCTGCATTGTATTTTTGTCTCTAGAACTCAAAATTATCCAGAATAGAGCAGACAGATTTTTTTTTGTGAGTGTTTTCTTGGTTACAGAAATATTAAAGAAAAGAATGTTTAGCACAAAAATGACTGATTTGCATATTACCTATGTAGAATGCTGAGTTTTCTTCTTTAGAAAAGTCATCAATATATGAAACCCCCAGTGGCATAACTGGTGCTTCCCCAATTCCACGTAAAAGGTTGCCCATCAACACAAAGAGCCACAGATAGGAATTTGTTGTTTTCTCACATCCTGCAGGCCACAAACATTTATATTTCTGTAAACACAATTCTAACAACACTTTATTGAAATGGAAAAGTAACATAAATATGGGGTGTTTACTATCATTATAGGGTGTGTTTGTATCAACTGTGATTTCTAACAGGGCTTTTACTGCTTTCCAATAAAAAAGGGTGTGTAAAATGGGAAGAAGGGAACCCAGCATCAGAGTTTTGCTTACCAAAATTTTTCACTGCATTGGGTATTTCTGTAGCATCTGTGACCGGATGGCCCTCAGGCGATGCTGGGGAGCAAGCTGATACACTCGTAGAGGAGTTGTCCACAGTAACAGTTATCCTTTCATAATTATAACTGGAAAACAACTATGTAAAACACAACTGACATATGAAAGGCTCTGCTTTGCAGGAGGTGTATATGAGCCTTGTGTTCATACATGTTCAGTCCTGTTACATGCAGGCAAAGTGGAGGGGCAACTCTTTTCCAGTGCTTTCACTTGAAAGAAAGATAGGTATCTTCATACCTTTCTCAAAATGCTCTGACCATTCCAACCCCAATATTTTCTTAAGCTAAAAAGCAAAAAAAAAAAAAAGCTGCTTCCAGGGCTTAATAGGATCATTCTTTAGACTGAAGGACAGAGGCAGAGTCCTCTACATACAACAACACTGACACTGGCACTGGTTTTTTACCTATGTGACAGACGTGCAACATAGATATTTCTGTGCTAGTTTAAAAGTATCTAACTGAGGCTCTAGTAGTAACCCACCTGTGCCTATAGACAGATTAACTCAGGCTGCAAAACACATGTACCAGTTTGCCTGTTATTCAAGAAGCCAGCTACTACAGCAAATCTGCTAAGTAAATTGAAACCAGCTTGAGTACATTTATGTTACACTGGGATAAATAGAGAGCAGATATTCTTTCTGACCGTGCAATCAAGTGACAGCCTTTCATATTGTGACGGATGACAGTGAGGCCCCATGGCCACTGGTGTTTGTTCAGTGCCATGGATAATGAGTAATCTGCAGAACATGGTCATAAGTTTGGGTTACATCAGAGTTCCATAGCTCTGTTTCTGTCCTGTGCTGTCCCCTGCAGCATAGGTTCCCAAGCAAAGTCATAACTGTGGCCCCTTTCCATATCATTTCCATACTGTACCCCAGATATAATTGCTTCCATACTCTCCTTATCAAAGGTATTGGTCTTGGAACTAAGGAAGATGCACAAATAGGTATTAATTTTTGAGGAACAGAGAGGTTTTATTTTAAACTACTATTCAGTGAGGATGCCGATGTTACTTCTGACAACGATGTAAGCACTAAAGCTTAGAAATGAAAGGATATTTAGATATTTATCTTTCCTGGAGTCCAGTGGAGACAGGCACAAATCTTCATAAGTTTAAAGAGCTTAGCATTAACAGCCATCATGGGGAAAGAAACCTCTTTTATCAAGATCTCCTTAGAATTCATTTAAGTATATAAAAAAGGAGAAGAGCTAAAATATATACATATATCAATATATACCTATCCCACGTGAAAAATTCAATTCATTTTATTCCTAATTATGCATAAGTTTTGTAGAAATCTGATGCTTCTCTCTTACTTACCTGTAGAAAGGGGTAAGCTTTCAGAGAGGAAATCAGAAAGTCAATACTAAAAAATCCACCTATTAAAAACCTTCCTACTATTTGGATGAAACTGCTATTGTCAAGCTTTTAACTCAGGTGTATGATTAAAAAACACTTCATATGGTCAAGTTCAACTAGCGCACAATGTGAAAACACTCCATATTTACCGTCCCATTAGGAACTGAGGAATCACTGACAAAAATGCTCCCAAGGACATGATGAGACATCCAACAGCAATTACTTTTGGTCGATGAACTCTTGGTCCGAGATAGCTTACCAAAACCATTACCATTAAGTTACCTACATGAAAAGGATAGAGAACCAGTAAATTTACAAAAATAGAGGTTTTTTTAGGGAAAAAATGTATTAAGAAGTAGTATCTGTTCACTTTCAAAGAAAGTAGATATACCTATCTCAAAGCTGCCATCAATAATGCCAACAATTGATGATGAGATTTCAAATCTCCTTTCAATTTGACTGGACATGCTCTTCATATAGCTTCCAGAAAATCCTTTGGCAAAGAAGGAAAAAGCTAGAGCCCCAAGAAGTATCTGAAGAGAGAAAACAATTGGATTTGCAAAGAAACAATTTTTTCTTCATGGCTGGATGCCGGAGCAACCTACTCAAGAAACACAAAAATTAAATGCTTTTCTTCATAATTCTCTGTGAAGAGATTCTTCCTATTTTTTTCATTAAGAGAGAAGATTATACTTTCTCTTTCAGTATGGCTTCCAAAGCCTCTTCTACTGCAAAGAAAAAGAAAGTTGACACTGACTGTGTGCACCTTCTGCCACAACATACTGGTTTAGCTGTTTTCTTCTTTAAGCCAAACTTGCAGCATAAAGTTGTTCATTACTGGTACTATTATTACAGCATGTCTTATTATTCCTACTTCTCCCGTATCTAAAAAGATATAGCTGCAACTACCACTATGAGTATAGCACATCTCTAAACGATTCACTAGTAAAATATGGCCTCACTTTTTTAACTGCTGTACACATTTTTTGACTTCTCTGAGCTTGGAATCACAACTTAGAGCATTGTTTCCAAAACACGTGGTGTCAAACAGTGTCATACAGAACTAATTGAATTTTAACAGAAGTTCAAACTGCTAGTTTCAATATTTGAGAGAAAATATGTGGTGAGGGTTCCTCTCCATACCTTTAGCTTTGAACAATTATGACACATGATCTTAGCAGGAACTCTGCTGCCATCACTGTCCTGGAAGAGTGACTTGTCTTTAAGCTGGCCAGCAGTGACTGGCCTGTCCATGGTTTTCCTCCTCCAGATCTGATATGCAGGTCTTCCTGTTCAGAAAACACCTGTTACTATGAGTAATAATTATTTGCATAAGAATAAAGGTTCCACAGTTTTTCAGACATATTAGATGGTGTTACATTACTTGAGATGTCTACACTTTGACACCTTTTCTCAAGAAGAATGGTGAAGAGTGTTCAAAGTGTCATTATAATGAGTTAAGGACTGGTGCACCTGCTTTGTGAAATCTGCTTTCTAAAAGACTTTTAGGACCTTCTTGGATAGATGGAAAATTTGGAGGGAACTTGCTGATAGTTTAAACAAATCTTTGTAGAGAAGGAAAGCCCCTAGGCAGCTGGTGGCTAGGGAGAACATGTCAGAGAAATAACTTGACCATGCTTGAATCAATTTTTACAGTCTCTTTTAGACCACTGTTTTAGGCTAAATGGATCTTTGGTATGATCCAGTAGGCTCCTGATGTTATATTTTTGAGGATTTTCTCTAACTGTCTAATCTATGAATTTGCAGAAATACTGAACACTATTCTGTACCTTTCTGTCAACAATTTCTGTGAGTAACATAGTACAATCTTTGTAGAATCAGACCACGAATCATGGCTGAGGAGAATACAGGGTAAGAGATATCCCAGGCAAATATGTATTAGGGAAAAGAGGGCACTAGCTAAAAGAAATGAATAGTGACTATCTTTAAGTCCACAAATCTCCACATGTTCCTGCATGACACATCATAAATGTAGCTATTTTAATGAGACTGCCAAACTTTTCTGTTTCAAAAAGGGCTCTGATATAAGTAGTCATCTTAGCTATGTTGATTGATGCAGATTAAGTTGATCAGGGGAAACCAGCTAATATAGTGACTTATGGAATGATAAGTCAAAAAGAACTCTTGACAAGTTCCTCTGCTGGAAAACTTGTGCAATAGTACCAAAATCAATTAATTGGCGCTGACATACATTAGCACACATATTAGAGGAATGCAGAGGTATATCGACCAAGAAATTTGCCTGTGACATTTCCCCTGGGGTCTTAGATATCCCACTCTGTTTAATTCCTCTGAGAACTTCTCAAAGTTCCCCTCCTGCAGGCCCCAGAAACCAGATGACCCCCATGAGCTGAGACCACTTAAGTGTCGTGAAGGATTTTTGATACCCAGGGCAGTAGGACTGTGGCAGGGTCTCAGGCAAGCCCACAAAGGTCACTCTGTTCCTCTGGTGAGCTCAGTTCTCTCAAGAAAGATGCCCAGGAGCAACTTGGGCTCACTGAGAAACATCCACTTCTGTCCAGAAAGGACAACATTCTCTTAGCAATCCCAAAGCCCTCTTACTCATAATGATTATGAATAGCACTAATACCTAACAAACACATATAAAGCCTCATAAGCACTCTAATTTAAATTTTGTAATTTTTAGTTCCAAATCCTACTCTAGTAGGACTCACCAAAAGCGATTATGAAAAACAAGCGGGTATATATTTCAATGAACCACATGTGAAACTTCTACGAGGGATCTAAACTTCCTTAGACCATCTTTAGCAGCTTACAAATCAAAAATATTGAAAAAAGAAGTTATAGATAAAGTATGATGAATTCAGATTTACCTTAATCTTCACAGGATGGGAGCTGAAAGTAGAGTTCTCTAAAGCAAATACATTCTTTATTGATTTGTATTTTGCTGATGATTAACTGTGAAACATTTGACTCTTAAATAAACAGTATTTAAATCTGTGACATTGTTTTCTTTTCACAATATTTACTGTTATGCTGGCAGACTAACAATCTACCTTAAACTTACAGAGTGTGTTAAATTGTATAAGGGCTTCTCTTAAGCCTAATGAAACCATAACATTTTCCATAATCACCCTGTATAAATCTGAACTTTGGCAAACCAGTGAATCATTAACACTAGAGGTACATAATATTAAAAGCAAGAACAATAATGCAATATTTCAATTATGACAATTTTAAAAAATTAATTAATGGTAACAAATAATTTTTATATGGAGGAATAAAACATCCCACTGCCCACAATGCCTATGCTTTAAAAAAAAAAAACCACCCTAATTTGCAGCATTGTACCTTTGCACTTTACATAACACTTTCAAGTCTGGTGACACTGAGATGTAGAAAAAGTCTCAGCTGTCCTCCACTAGCACCTAACAATTAAACAAGTAAAGAAACAAACAAATGGAAAGAAGCAGGAAGAGAGAGTGGGCAGAGACAGTGAGAGAAAGAGAGAGAACTTACTTTGTGTCCCTGCAGTGTCAGGCTGCTTCTTTCCCGTGCCCTGGGGCTTTCAGGCTTGGAGCCAGCACTACGTCACAGCAAAAGCGCTGCCTACTTCAAGAACTGAAGCACTTTGGTGCTTTTTTTTAAACCTTGGATTTCCTTCTTACAGTGACTGCAAAATTTTCCCACGATCACTGATACAAAAGCTTTGCAAAAGAAGGCAGGTTTCTTGTGTTGTCATCACTTCGGCAGCCTACCTGCCAGCATGCTAGCAGTGCCAGCCTCTCCTGGGAGGAACAACTTGTTTTCTTCACTCTATTTCTTTTCTTTTTTTTTTTTTTTTTTACCTTGAAGTCTAAACACTAAAGCTGCTTTAAGAACCTCTCTCAGGATGACTCCCTACCATCCACCCCACAGCTGTGGAGCAGGTCAGATGATGTCCAAGAGCCCTGCGAGAGCAGGCTCAGTTTTTACAAGGGTCCTACCTGCAGCATCAGTACTTGAACTTCTTGGTGTCTTTGACGACGTTCAGCGGAGATACTAAGGCATGACAGCTTCTCAAAGGGCTCGAATTGTGTATTGATGTCTGTGAGGTTTCGGTGTGGACCCTCTGTGTCACAAACCCAATGCAGAGGTGCAAAAGGGCTACCCTTGTGGAAACCTAAAGATAAGCAGATGCCCTCAGGGAATCCCAGCCTACTGTCTATTATAAACCAGGATTAACACAACCACAAGAACTTCCTGCAGGTGCCAGTAGGAGATGTGGGACGTCACAGCTATCCCTCCAAGCTAACCACAGGTTGGCCAAACAATAAAGAGTGAGCATATTACTCACAGCTAGCCCAGCTCTCATATCCTAACCAACCACGAGCAGAAAATCAGCTCTCACCTCTAACAGGGCTCACAGAGAATGCAAACCCACCTAATCCACGTCTTCTCTAGAGCTAAACTCTCCAGCACAAGGAAAGATCCTGATCCAGAAGTTGTTCCAGACGTTACCAGCTGAGGCCCAAGAAACGGTTTTTGGTCAGCTGGTTGCATTTAACAGCATGGGGCTTGTTTTTGCAGAAACTTCAATTACAAAATCTGATTCACATATAGTTTGAGGACCATTCTAGTGATTTCTAAATACAGAAAAAAGATTTTTATGACTCCAATAACTTCAGGAACACTGGAAGGAAAAAGCATCGTCCCCCCATCTCCTTCCTTTCCAGTGAAAGGTAAACTCCTGAAATCCAAACTTCGACTAAGTTTGCTTGAGAATACTTAATTAGTTTTTCCTGTATAAAAATACTTTAAAATATTTGCTAAAGATTGAATTAAATCACTGAAATACACGGAAATGTATTATGTAGTCATGAAAGCTAGAAGAAATAATAAACTTGTTAAGTCCATAAATATGCAAGTTCTCACTTTCCACTGAAGCTGGGTAGCTAACTGCAGGCAATAATTTTATCTGACATATTCACATTTGCTATTGGATTTTATTTGATTAAATTTTATAAATTTTACTGAGAGATTATTTATTTCTTTATTTATTATGAGTCTTCATTTCAAGTTTCAGTATTTCTAGCTTGCCAGAGGGACTCTGTGCTGTGACCAGGTACTCGGTGAGCAAACAATTTCTAGTGTTTAGTAGGATTATATGCAACACAGAAAGATGTAATTTTCTATAATGCAGTGTTCCCGCATTAGTCTTTAAATGTTAACTTCTTGTTTTAGTTTTAACACAAGGGAAGAGAGTACATATTGAATCTTTCTCTTAAAAGAATTCAGAATACAGGAAATGCAATCAAACCTATTCTTCAGATAAGTTGATCCATCCTCATACTTTTATTTAAGTGGTGAAGAGTTATCTCCATCTAGTTATTAATGCCTTAATTATTTTTTTAAAAAAAAATTTGAAAATGCTTAGATTCATTCACCAGAATATCACTCCAACAAATCAGATTTTGCTTCACCTGATAATTTCAAATTTACATATATTACAATCTGCATTTTGACTGCTTCTAACTATGAGGATATTGCAAAGTATATATATGAACATTATATACAAACGCTAGCAATGGGTCCTCTATTTATCATTGCTGTCAGCCTGCAACCAGGTGGAAGAACATAAGTCTCTTGGAAAGGTAACTGCAAGCCCATTGTCTATGAGGAAGCACAGTTCTCAAAATAAGACACCCAGAAAAATCTCATCAGCATTTCGATAAATGTATTTTAAATTTGACTACAAACAAATTTTTATCTATAGAGAACATGAGATTTCTTGTGATCTGTCGCAGATGGTAGGATCCACTTGCAAGGCAGCACTGCATAGATTTAATGCAGACACTTCCAAATGAACCACTCAGACAGTTTCTCTTTACAGTAAGAGGAGGAAAAAGAACCATTTCCAAAGATAAGAGCTTTCTGGTCTATTTTGGATACTTACTTTAGATATGAGACAAAATGAACTCCGGATACAGCTGTGAAAGAAGTCTAGACAGTAAGTTAGGAGAGATGAATCCCACCACAGAAGACTTCAGAGCTCCCATAAAAGTAATCTTCCTATTCCAAACTGACCTCTGGTATCTGTGACAGCATTGGCCATCAAACCTGCTGGTGCAACTCAGTTGTGATATGGGAGCTGCTAACAAATGAGGAAAAGGGTTCTTGCAAGGCAAGGGCAGTCCTGTGGAGGCAAGCCACAGGTGTCGGATCCCAGCCACCCCTCTAGCACATACTGACAGAGGGTAGCACCAGCAGCGCAGCCCAG